CTGGATGTTAGAAGAGTTGGAAAAGGCTCCACCATGTCTACAAGCTCATAGGAGGAACCGTTGAGAGAGGGAGGGATATAGACAACAATGGAAGCAAAACAGGTACAGGGGAGCAGAGGGACCCATCAGTGGTAGAAAGACCAAACCCAGATGGAGGAAGGGGGACTTGCCAGGATGCTGCAATTTGTTGATGTGATGATGAAGGCCAATTAGCTGCAGTAATGCCCAGCTTTTCCAGGACAAAACATTTCAAGTATAGAACAGAAACGATGGGGCTGGTGCTGTGGCACAGCAGGTTAAAGCCCCAGCCTGCAGCACCAGCATCCCATCTGGGTGCCAGTTTGAATCCAGGCTGCTCCACTTCCCATCCAGCTCCCTGCTAATGCACCTAGGAAAGTAGCTAAGGATGGCCCAACTCCTTGGGCCCCTGTACTCATGTGGGAGACCTGGAGGAAGCTCTTGGCTCCTGGCTTTGGATCAGCTCAGCTCCAGCAGTTGTGGGCATTTGGAGAGTGAACCAACGGATAGAAGACTTCTCTCTATCTCTATCTCTATTTCCCTCTGTAACTCCTTCAAATAAACAAAATAAATCTTTTTTAAAAAAAGAACAGGAAAGCCGGCGCCGTGGCTCAATAGGCTAATCCTCCACCTTGCGGCGCCGGCACACCGGGTTCTAGTCCCAGTTGGGGCGCCGGATTCTGTCCCGGTTGCCCCTCTTCCAGGCCAGCTCTCTGCTATGGCCAGGGAGTGCAGTGGAGGATGGCCCAGGTGCTTGGGCCCTGCACCCCATGGGAGACCAGGAAAAGCACCTGGCTCCTGGCTCCTGCCAGGATCAGCGCGGTGCGTCGGCTGCAGCGGCGGCCATTGGAGGGTGAACCAGCGGCAAAGGAAGACCTTTCTCTCTCTGTCTCTCTCTCTCACTGTCCACTCTGCCTGTCAAAAAAAAAAAAAAAAAAAAAAAAAAAGAACAGGAGCTGGCACTGTGGCGTAGCAAGTAAAGCCACCACCTGTGGTGCTGGCATCCCATATGGGTGCTGGTTCGAGTCCTGGCTGCTCCATTTCCGATCCAGCTCTCTGCTATGGCCTGGAAAAGCAGTGAAAGATGGCCCAAGTCCGTGGGCCCCTACACCTGTATGAGAGATCCAGAGGAAGCTCCTGGCTCCTGGCTTCAGATCAGCACAGCTCCAGTCATTGTGGCCAACTGGGGAGTGAACCAGCAGATGGAAGACCTCTCTCTCTGCCTCCCCTTCTCTCTGTGTGTAGCTCTTTCAAATAAATAAATAAATCTTAAAAAAAGAACAAATTATTTCCTTTGTAATTATTTATAAAAGTATTAAGGAGATACATATTTCCCTGTATTAAGATCACAATTGTGAAGTAGAATTTATTTAAACTGTATAATAATCTGTCCTAACCATCTGTCCTCCATTTTCACTTGTTTGGTTATTGTGAATTTAAATTATTTCCCTTTTCTTAATCAATTTTTAACAAAATCATAACTTAAAACATATTATTAGACTCAAGAGTTAAAAATAATGAGTGCATGAAATTCTCAAGAAACACAGCTGAATCCAGAACACCCTATTCACTAGAGGCTTCATATCATCCAGCACCACTGCACTGATCACTACAAAGGCAAATCCATTTCAGATGTCTTCACCAATAATTCAATTTGTTTTCTGGAAAAGCTTCAATATTTGTCAAAATCCAGGGTTGGCTACAGGAAGATGCAAACATGCCAAAGCCTCATGAGACCATCCCTCAAGGTACATGATCACCATGGAAAAAAATTCAATTCAACTAACATCACCACCAAAGGCATGTTTGGGGAAATTCGATAACAAAGGTAAGAGCCTAAGAAGAGGATAAAATAGGAAGAGTTATATATCTCTCTTTAGGCTGATTTAGCAAACCTTGCAGAAATGTCATATTAAAAAGGGGGGGGGGGGTGGCGAGAGTAGGCACTGTGACACAGCAGGTAGAGTCAACCTGTAGCTTGTGATGCTTCCATCCCATATCAGAGTGCTGGTTTGAGTCCTGGATGCTCCACTTCTGATACAGCTCCATGTTAACACACCTGGGAAGGCAGCAGATCGCCCAAGTTCTAGGGCCCCTGCCATCCACATGGGAGACCCAGATTAAGTTCTGGGCTCCTAGTTCAGCCTGGCCCAGCCCCAGCTGTTGTGGACATTTGGAGAGTAAACCAACAGAAAAAATATTCCTCTTTGCACTCCACCCCCTACCACTACCCATTGCTCTGCATTTCAAAAAAAAAAAAAAAGAAAGAAAGAAAAAGGTATGGAAAAACAAGCACTGTGACATAGCAGATTATGCCACCCACATGCAATGCTTGCATCCCATATTGGAGGGTCAGTTCAAGTCCTCACTTCTCTGCTTCCAATCCAGCTTCCTGTTAATGTATCCCAGGAAGTAGCAGGTGATGGATCAAGTGCTTGGGCATCTGCCATCCATACAGGAGACTCAGACTGAGTTCTGGGCTCTGGTTTTGGCTTGGCCCAGCCCTGGTTGTTGCAGATATTTGGGAAGTGAACCAAAGCATGGAAGACTGACCTCTCCCTTTCTCTCTCTCTGCATCTCCTTCTCTCTGTGTGTAACTCTGGCTTTCAAATAAATAAATAAATCTTTAAAAAAGAATGCAATGGTCCAATGGAGTGGTATGAGGTTGGAACAATAGAAATGGGATGGGGTGACAAATGAGATATTTCAGAGGGTGACCTTATGAAATCTAGCAATCAATTGAAGTGACAGGATGTGACAGATCCAATGATGACTGTAGGGCTTCTAGTCTAATGGACATGGAAAATAGTGACACCATTAAAATAATCTGGGATCTTCAAAATGTGATTGGAGAAGGAGTCATGGAGGTATAATAAGAGACAGGCGGGGCAAAAAGGGTATGGAGCCAGGCATTTGGTTTAACAGTTAAGACACAAGTTGGGAGCCTGAATCTCATATTACAGGACCTAGATTTGAGTCCCAATTCCACTCCCAGTTCTAACTTCCTGCTAATGCACACTCTGGGAAGCACCAGATTTTGACTCAAGTAATTGGGTTCCTGCCACACATGTAGGAGACCTGGATTGAATTTCCAGTGCCCAGCTTCAGCCTGACCCAGTCTTGGTCATTATGGACATTTGGAGAGTGAACCCATGGATGGGAGCTCTCTCTCTCTCTCTCTCTCTCTCTCTCAGATAAAAAAGGGAGAGGACCCTGGAGCTAAAGACACAATGTTGGAGAATGCCTACCTTAAGAAAAGCAAAGGAGTGGGGCCCGGCTCCGTGGCATAGTAGGCTAAGCCTCTACCTGTGGCACTGGCATCCCATATGGGCGCCCTTTCGAGTTCCGGCTGCTCCTTTTCCAACTCCACCTGGGTCTCCCATATGGGTGACATGGGCCCAAGTACTTGGGCCGTATTCTCCTGCTTTCCTGGGCACATTAGCAGGCAGCTGGATTGGAAGTGGATGAGCCAGGACTTGAACAGGAGCTCTTACAAGGGATGACTGCATCATAAGCAGGTGCTTACCTTGCTGCACCGCAGCACCAGCCCCACCACAATCTAATTTTATAAATTTCCCAACACCCCAAAAAGAAGTCCCTTACCAGCTTAGCAGCCTGTCCCTCCTTCTTTTTCCCTACTATCCCCTTACATCCCCACTCCGCCTCTACCCTAACCTTGGCCCCACATAACAAGGTTTTTGAGTTTTTTTAAATCTACAGACGTCTAGCCCCACTCCTAGACCTCCAAAACCTCAAGCTTTGCCTGAGCAGAGCTAGCACACGGACTTGCAAACGCACTTCCTGAGACATTCTAAGGAGTCCCCATCAAGAACCACGTAGCTAGTGCTAAGAACTCAACAAGCACTTGTTGAGTAAGTAAACAAGCAAGTAGGCAGATTTGAGGTTGCTAAGAACCCTTCTGGCTCCAACAAGTAATATAACAAGTGATGAAGTAGAAAGTAGATTTTTTTTTTTAACTCAAGGTATTAAAAGGACTCACTGCCAACTTCAGCCTATTCCAAAACAGGTCTCTTAACATCCCTAATCCTTGATGGCTACTCCAAGAAGCCTAGAGGAGACCTGACAGCATCCTTCAGCTGCACACTACAAGTTCAAATATCTCTGCAGCCACCTTTGACCCTGCCTGTTATGGCTGACAATCAAAGCAACTCCCAGAGGCAAAACAATGGGAAAGAAATGTATGTTGCTTCTCAAAACAAAAAGAAGGGAAAAAGCTGACTTAACACATTACACAAGCAACTATCACACAAAGGGAGACAAAACTCATTAAGACAACCAAGAGCCATAGCGATGAGAAAAATCATGAATCAAAATGCAGCTATGAGGAAAAAAGCAGTATCTTCAAAGAGAATTAAAATAAGGACAGTGATCAGATGCATTTAGTTGTGGCTAGAAAACAGTCATATACACACAAGTATGAAATGCTTCTGGATGTCAATCTGATCTCTGTGTATACAACTTCTCAAAGAAAAATGCTAACACAAATAGCAAAGGCTTTACCTAACAGCTTATAAAGACATCAAGCCTCTGAGAAAGGATCTGTCAACAATAGTCCACTTGAAGTGATGCTTCCTTGTATAGACAAATTCACTTTCCCTGCCCCCTGCCCCTTTTCCCTCTGTGTGTGAATGCAATAACTTCTTTAGGAGTTATCTTTATTTCTGTCATATGGGTAAAGCTATTCTCCTTTCTACAGAATTAAGTCCAGGCAGTTGGTCTATGCACTGAGATGTTTCTGGTAAGCTAGCTTTCACTCACTGGGACAAACTGCATCCACCAAACAGCTGCTCCTCTCCTTCTGAAAATGAGATCATTAAGATTTTGAAACAAACCATCGAATCTGTATCCAATCCAGCAGTCAGGTACCAACTCCTCATAAATAACAAAATTCCTCTTCCACCCTCGAGGGTAGTAAAGGAGCCATCGCAGGGACAGCTCAAAGGGTGAATGATGACACCCACCTCCTTAGCTCTGCAATGAGCAGTGCGGTGCAAGGAACCCCCAGGGTCATCAGAGAGATGTTGTTGATGGCAGGCTTGACAAATGCCAGGCACGTTGTAACCGCAGACAGGACACAGACCACCGCCTTGAACCTGCCCCTGAAACCAAGGAAGTAAAACCAAACCCATTAGCAAAGGAGTTTTTATTTGTTTGATGCTGGCAAGGTGTAGGCAGTGCCAGTCATGCATGCTGAAAATAAATTCTGCACTAAGTACCAAGGGTCAAAAAACCATTCACATTATTCACTGGCTCATCAATTCTACTTCTAGGAATTTATTCTTGGGAAGTTATCAGTGATTCCCAAAATATTTCATCATAAGTAACACTAGAACCAATCTAAGTCTCTGGAGGTAAGATACAGATAACCATTTTCTTAGTGTCATTTTTCTGTATTTTTTTTCAGACGTTCTATGACTGGGTTTGGGCAAATCTTCTCTGTAAGGGTCAGATAGTGAGTATCCTAGGTTTTGCAGGGCCTAAGGTCTCTGCTGCAGCTACTTCAACTCTGCCACGGTAGACGATAAGTAAACAAATGGGCATGGCAGTGCCAATAAAACTGGATTTGCAAAAACAGGATCCATTTGGTCCATGGTCCGCAGGACGTGGCTTGCCAACCTCTATTCTAGAAAAGGAGCACATCTGACTTTTGTAAGTAAGACAGAGGCTTTAACAAGCCAAAAAGCTTCCTGACTTGCAAGGAAAAAAAAAGTCCTGTGAGTATGTGTCTAGAGCATGAAACTAAAAGTTTGAGGAAAAATCTTACCAGCATCTCTATTTTCTAACAAGCCACCAGTCTAGTGCACACTAAATCTGTGTTGACAAGTTTCAGACATGGCCAATCTCAGAAAAACCACTGGAACTCTCCTCACACCCCTCCTGGGAGGTCATTTCCGTGGGAAGAGGCCAGTGGCGACGTGATCCTGGACATGGCCTTCTTCTCTCTCGGGGACCCCACTTCCTTATCTATGAAACAAGGTTTGATGAGAGGGTCTCTAAGGCCTCACCTATGACTGAAACTTAGCAGCACGTGACTTTCCTGAAGTTTCTGTTATTCTGCCTTAACACAGTTTATTTTGGACAAGAGCCCTGGAACAGGTCATAGCTAGGAAACTAATTTGAATGAAATTCCATTATAAACAAATCAAGGGGCACTGAACCTTCAGGATACAAATTTATCTCTTAAATAGGAAAACCATTTATCATCAAGGCACAGGAAATCATTGATCAAGCTGCCAACTGTCTGACTGGAATGAATAGGCATTGTAGCCCTGAACTTCTAGCAGAGGAAAAAATATATATGGGAAAGGATCCAGGCAGCAAATCCTCAGGAGAATTATGTTTTTCTCCTGGCCTTGGCTGGCCTTCTTCAGCTACCGGATGAAAGGCTCCCTGCTCTGGCTGAGGGGGGTAACAGCTCACAGCCATCATGCTCATGGCCCCTGGAGACCCACAATAACTCTTTCACTGGGTATGAGGTTCTGTGACACATGCCAAGGCTATTTGACTTTTCCAATTGCAGAAAAATGTTCAGAAAAGTGCATCACTTCCACGTACCAAATGACCAAGGATTCAGGCACAGGTAGGAGAAAGTAACCCAGTGATTGAAAGCACAGGCTTTGGGGACAGGCATTTAGACCAGCATTAGGATGTCAGCCTTCTATATCAGAGAGCCTGGATTCATCTACTGACTAGCTTCCTGCAGAGGCAGACAGTGATGGCACAAGTCGTTAGGTTCTTGTCACCTATATAGGAGCCCTGGACTGAGTTCCTCGCTCTTGGCTTCACCCAAGCCCAGCCTAGCTATTGCAGGCATTTGAGGAATGATAAAGTAAATGGGCATGCTCTCATCTCTCTCTCTCTCTCTAATATTATTTATTTATTTATTTATTTGAGAGGCAGAGTTACAGACAGTGAGAGGCAGAGACAGAAAGAAAGGTCTTCCTTCCGTTGGTTCACTCCCCAAATGGCCGCCACGGCCAGTGCCGCGCCAATCCGAAGCCAGGAGCCAGGTACTTCTTCCCAGTCTCCCACGTGGGTGCAGGGGCCCAAAGACCTGGGCCATCCTCCACTGCCTCCCCAGGCCACAGCAGAGAGCTGGATTGGAGGAGGAGCAGCCGGGACTAGAACCGGTGCCCATATGGGATGCCGGTGCCTCAGGGGGAGGATTAACCTACTGCACCAAGGTGCCAGCCTCTCTAATATTTTTTTTAAAGCATTGGTGTTTCAGTTATCCAGCTGTGAGGTCAAATTTGTCCCTACCGCTTCATAGTTGTGGGACTTTTGGCAAGTAACCTTACTCTTTAAACCTACCCCATGTGAAAATAAAAACACCCTGCCTCATGGTATTCTTGTAAGCACTAAGAGTGCTTAACACAGTGCCTGGTACCTGTTATGTGCTGAAAAAGTCCTCTATTACCATTATCTTTATCACGTGGAGAATAAAGACTATTTCACAAGACACTACTATTAGTGATATCACACTCTGGCGAGAATCTGACTGAACTTGTATTGCAGTCCTTAAAAGCTCTGCATGGTATTGCCAAATAGTTGAAAGGCAGCTAGCTTGATGAAACTTGCTTTCTTTAGGGAGGCCATCTGCAGACACCTCCCCACATCGGGTCCACAGGGTACGGAGGAATGTGCTGGCCAACAAGGACATCCTGTGAGCACGTGATTCTGCAACCAGCAGAAGTAAACAGAAGCTGTGTAGCCAGCAGAAGCCGGCCAGCCCCACGGCTCCTACACTCACCAGAGGCCGTGGATGGAAGAGAGCTGGAAACATCAGGAGCAAAGGATCCTGACAGGCTGTTTCCTGGATGGTGATGACAGGCAAGCCCTCCCGCAGTCTCGGGGCCTGTTTTGCACTTTCCAGTCTCAGACTGGAGCACAAGGTTGGAGGACTCTCAGAGCACCTTCCTCCTGTATTCTCCACACCAAAATCTTAATTTTAAGAAAAATCTGGGGCTGGCACTGTGGCGCAGTGGGTTAACACCCTGGCCTGAAGCGCCGGCATCTTATATGGCATATGGACATGGGTTCAAGACCCAGCTGCTCCTCTTCCGATCCAGCTCTCTGCTATGGCCTGGTAAAGCAGTAGAAGATGACCCAAGTCCTTGGGCCCCTGCACCCGCGTGGGAGACCCGGAAGAAGCTCCTGGCTCCTGGCTTTGGATAGGCGCAGCTCTGGCCATTGAAGCCAATTGGGGAGTGAACCATCGGATGGAAGACCTCTCTCTCTCTCTCTCTCTCTCTCTATCTCTCTCTGCCTCTTCTCTGTGTAACTCCGACTTTCAAGTAAATAAATAAATCTTCAAAAAAGAAAGAAAGAAAGAAAAATCTACCAACCCTATAGCATCATCACGAGATTGTTATAATAGCTATCATTGTTGTCATCATCAGCCATTCTTTACAACAATGCTTTCAAGCCTTTCAGACATTATGCCTCCTCATCTTTATATCAAATATTTGGCAATCCCCTTTTTACGCTTCTGAACTGAAAAGAAACTCGTGGATGATTAAAAAATCCCAACAGAGTGAACCCCAAAAAACATGTCCATAGACTTTCCAGATGTCCCTCAAGAAGTGGAAATGCTCCCGGTTAAAATCCATTGCTTTAAACCACCCTTTAGGACCCAAACATAGCCTGTTTAGCACAGCCAGCCCCTGACAGTCATAGCACGGCAGCATCAGGCTCTAGAAGGGGCCACAGAGGGCTAGTCCAATCCTGACATTTCATAAGTAAGGCATCAAGGGGGCCCCAAGTGATCCAGAAAATGTGCTAGCAATACAAGCAGATCCTAGTCTGGTTTCTTCCTACTTAGGATTCAAAAATGAAGTGGATTATAAACTGAGGGCTGTCCCTAGATTTTAAAGAGGCAAAACTCATCAAAAGCACAATAGGAAAAAGATCTTTAAAAAAAAAAAAAAGATTTATTTATTTATTTGAAAGGCAGAGTTACAGAAAGAGAGAGAAAGAGACTTTCCATCCATTGGTTCACATTGGAAGTGAACAGGCAGTCGGAAGCCAGGAACTTCATTGTTGTCTCCCATATGGCTGAATACCTTTAAGATGAAGGCAATAAGCCTATAATAGCTCTTTGTTCTTTTTTCCATGAAATTATTAATAACCTTTAACATGAGTGTATGTCCCAAGGTCTTTGAACTATCCAATCTTTCTCCCTGGTGGAAGTCTTCCCACTCTTGCTCATATCAACCACAGCAGATATTTGACTTTTTGTTCCTGCTGCTACATAACTTCTTCCCCAAGCACTATTAAATTTCTCTCTTTTATCTGCCAGTGTATTTATGCTGTTGGATCCTAAAAACAACCAGTGGATACCAGACAAGTATATGATGAGCTCATCATGGGCTGAGTTCCATCACGTACTGTTTTTCTCAAGCTGTACATCATCATATCAGATACTGCACCTTGCGGTAAATGTAGAAATGTTTGGCACAAGCTTACCTGTCATTCCGAAAGATCTTTGGTAGATACCGTCTGGGGAACCACATGGCTAGGGCACACATCAGAACCCAGAGGATTGCAAGTTCATCAAGCATCTGGCCCAGGAAACTAAGAGTTGCATGGAAGTAGACGGATCCGATTCCTAGAATCGATTACAACCAAAAAAAAGAGATCACCACAAGGAGAACAGACCCACAATTCCATACAGCGCTTAAGGAAAGCCCTTTCACCATCTGCTGTCAGCATCAGCAAATCACTCCCTCCGTCTGAAAAAAAGAAATCTGGAGGGAGAAACACTGCTCAGGCATGGAGACCTCAAGTCCAGAAAGAGGATTTTAAGTAAGGCCCAAGATCACCACGTTAATAATTCCTCCGTTGGTGTCTACACTGAAGGCGTCTACACTGGAGCTCCGCCCACTGTGGACCAAGCCTGAGCACAGTGCTGCGCCACGCTGTGGATCCAGCAGCCTGCAGGAGGGAATTCACCGAGAGACTCTACAGTTTTAAAGACGTTCATTTGTGTAAAATAACTTGCTCTTCCGAGAAGCCAGTGTTTTGATTTGGTACTTAAATGATATTTTGGAGTGAACATTTAGCACTACGAATATGACTCCAACAGAAAATGCGATTGTGCTACACTGAGTACTGTATTGATTTGCCAAAGTTTTCTAACTTAGTAAAGGTACCCCTTCCAGAAAAAAAAAATAATAATAATTCCTCCGTTAAACACCCTCTGTCTTTATCCACTGTGGCTTCATGGAAACAAGCAGTAGATAAAAGGCAACATTCTCTCACTGTTAAAAATTCCTAACCTGCCTATGAGTAGAAATGGAAATTGCACAAGTATCCCACAGCACAATAAGGGATCAAACATTTACACTTTTTAATGTAAGCGCATTAGCTATCACAGTCTCATCAGAGTTCAGTTGTTTCCCATGACTTCCTCAGACGTTCTCAGAACACTTCACTGCTACACCACCACCAGCTAGCACACAGATACGGTCTCAAAAGCAATCACATGATAACTACGGTCAGCCTTGCTGTCACTCGGAGGCCTTCGCCTGGCGTCAGGCAAGTGACAAAGCTTGCTAAGACGTCAGAGTGACTTTAGTTTACAAAACATTGTGTTCAAAGGGGACAGGAAGTGTGCGGAATCCCATTTCCTCCCTTTCAGTCCCTGTTCCCAGATGAGTCCACTTACCCACCACAACTAAAAGAGTCCAGATTAAGTAGATGCCACTGTTGAAGCATGTTGCATACTGACGAAACAAGCACATGCAGATGGGCGGTAAAATGAAAAACAAGACGTTGCTGATCTGAGGGGAAAAACGCAAAACGGGAAAATGAATGTCAAGTAAAGGGGCAAAAAATAAAGCAACCTGTTCCAAGGGTGTCCCTTACAAACCGGGAGGAATGTGGCCTATGTTTTGCTCAAGCTCTTGTGACGCTTTCTGACTGCAGATACACAACCAGGAAAACGGAACATCTCTTTAATGACCAAGGGAGGCGGGTGCTCCTTGTTGCCTCTTGGATGGCAGAAGCAGCTATAAAAACACTGTAGGCCGTGGGAGCTGTCAAGGCTCCTCTCTGATTCTCAGAACCAAGAATTCTTACTGGTTTTCTGTAAAGATTAACTATGAAGCATCCTAATTTACTCACAGCTACATCTTTAATGACAATGTCTATACTAAATGATGGTAAAAATAATAATAATAATTTAATGAAAGGGTGAAAAGAACTGGTTGCTTTCCAGCTCCCAAGAATCTTCTGCCAGCAAAACCAGTCTTTGCTTCCGGACCCACACCAAGAGAATTCTTGGGGCTGCCGCTGTAGCGCAGTGGGTTAAGCCACGGCCTGCCGCACAGGCATCCCACATGGGTGCCAGTTCCAATCCTGGCTGCTCCACTTTCGATCCAGCTCCCTGCTAATGTGCCTGGGAAAGCAGCCGAAGATGGCCCAAGTCCTTGGGCCCCTACACCCGCGTGGGAGACCCGGAAGAAGCTCCTGGCTCCTGGCTTCAACCTGGCCCAGGCCTCATAGTTGCAGCCATTTGGGAAGTGAACCAGCAGAAGGAAGATATTTCTCTCTCTCTTCCTCTCTCTCTCTCTCTCTTTCTCTCTGTAACTCTGCTTTCAAACACAATACGTAAACAAATACTTTTTAAAAAGAGAGAGAGAGAGGAAGAGAATTCTCCCTAGTTTCCCTTGTGGTCGCCCCGACCCTAATCCAAAGTAAAGATCAAATTTGTAGGTTCCTTCTCACCTTTAAAATGATACCGAGAGTCAGGATTTAGCTTGTGGGTACGACACCCACATCCCATATCACAGTACGTGGATTCAATGCCTGCTAAAGCAGACCTCAAGAGAAAGCAGTGATAATTCAAGTAATAGAGTTCCTGCCACCCAAGTGGGAGGCCTGGCTTGTGTTCCCAGGTCCCAGCCTGAGCCCCAGCCCAGCCCTGTGGGCATCTGGGGAGTGAACCAATGAATAGGATCTCTCTCTCTCTCTCTCTCTTTCTCACCATCTCTCTACCTCACCTCTCTAATAAATTTTAAAAATGTTTTAAAGTAATGAATTAAATATATTTTATTTTGCAGTTTCTGTGGATTTAAGCCTGTTATATCTCCAGTGGCCATTCAGCACTTTAAAAATTTATTAAGGGATGGGGCTGGCACTGTGGCAAAGCAGATAAAGCCACTGCCTGCAATGCCGGCATCCCATATGGGCACCAGATCAAGTCCCAGCTGCTCCACTTCCAATCCAGCTCTCTGCTAAGGCCTGGAAGATGGCCCCAGTGCTGGGGCCCCTGCACCCGTGTGGGAGACCTGGAGGAAGCTCCTGGCTCCTGGCTTTCGATTGGTGTGGCTCCGGCCTTTGCGACCATCTGGGGAGTGAACCAGCAGATGGAAGACTTTCTCTCTGCCTCTGCCTCTCTATAACTCTGCCTTTCAAATAAAATAAATATTTTTGAAAAATTCATTAAGGGGCCAGCACTGTGGTGTAGCAGGTGAGGCTGCTGCCTGCCATGCTGGCATCCCACGTGGTCTCCGGTTTGAGTCCTGGCTGCTCCATTTCTGATCCAGCTCTCTGCTATGGCCTGGGAAGGCAGTGGAGGATGAGTCAAGTGCTTGGGCTTCTGCACCTGCATGGGAAAAGGGAGGAAGCTCCTGGTTCCTGACTGAATCGGCACAGCTCCAGCTGTTGTAGCCATCTGGGGTGTGAACCAGTGGATGGAAGACCTCTCTCTCTCTCTCTCTCTCTCTCTCTGCCTCTGCCTCTCGGTAACTCTGTCTTTTAAATATAAATAAAAATCTTTTTAAAATTCATTAATATATCTCATTTAATGCAAAATATTCAAAAATATTTTCATTCAAATAAATAATCACTATCAAAATATCACTACTGAGATATTCGACATCCTACTGCTCATACCAAGGCTTTGAGATTCAGTATAAATTTCACACATATAGCAGGAACTCTCGAAGCACCTTCCTACTTTTTAAAAATTAATTTGGGGTGAGGGTTCCAGTGCTGTGGTATAGCAGGTTAAAGCCATGGGCTGCAACACTGGCATCCCATCTGGGCACCAGTTTGAGTCCTGACTGCTCCAGTTCCAATCCAGAGTGCAGATCAGAATGAGCCTGGGAAAGCAGTGGAGAATAACCCAAGTCCTTGGGCCCCTGCATACACTTTGGGAGACCTGGATGAAGCTTCTGATTCCTGGCTCGGGATTGGCCCAACTTCAACCATTTGGGGAGTGAACCAGAAGATACAAGATCTCTCTCTCTTTGTCTCTCCCTCTCTCTATAACTCTGCCTTTCAAGTAAATAAATAAATCTTTTTAAAAATTATTTGGTTTTGGCTATTTTTAAGGACTCATGTTTCTTGAATTTTTTAATTGAAGTAAAACTCACAGAACATAAAATAAGCCATTTAAAGTACACAACTCGGTGGCACTTAGTATATTCATAATGTACAGCAATCATTTCTATCTAGTTTCAAAATGTTATCATCACCCTAAACAGAAACCTTTTTCCCAGTAAGCAATGAATCCCCATTTGTCCCTCCCCAGCCCCCGGCAAGCACCAATCTGCTTTTTGTCCCTGTGACTACCTATTCTGGATATTTCACGAGTGGAATCACGCCTCAAGTGCCCTTTTGTGTCTGGCTTCTTTTACCTAGCATAATTTTTTAAATAAACAACTTTTTTCCTTCTTAAGCTTTATTTTTTATTTATTTGTTTTCATGTTATTTGAATGGCAAAAGGCAAACAGAGATCTTCTAAACTCTGGTTCACTCTTCAAATACCAGCAACAGCTGGGGCTGTGCCAAGCAAAAGCCAGGAGCGCACGGCCCCATCCAGGTCTCTCCTGTGTATGGCAGGGACCCAAGCACCTGAGTCACCACCTGCACACCAGCAGGAAGCAGAACTGGAAACAAAGCAGGACTCAAACTGAGGCACTTGGACAGGGGACGCAGACATCCGAACCACTCAGCCAAATGACCTGCCCAGCATGGTTCTGGGGAATCCGTGCTGTAACATGTACCAATACTAGTTCCTTTGTATGGTTGAGTAATGTTCCATTTCACAAGTATACCATAGTTTGTGTGTCTCTTCATCCATTAATGTTTGCTGGGTGATAGGGTAATTCTGTTTTACTTATAGAGGAACCACCAAACTGTTTTCCACCAAGGCAGTTTTTTACATTCTCACCAGCAATATTCAAGGGTTCTAATTTCTCCACAACCTTATATTTTGTGTTCTCTCTCTCTCTCTCTCTCTCTCTGGTTTTGAAATTAAAGCCATCTTAGAAAGTGTGAAGTGGTAAGGTCACTCAGCTTCTCACGTCTGATCTCTAATTTTGGAGTGAGGACAGGACAGTGCATGCAGAAGAAGTGCACAGAATCTGAAAACAACAGCTAAGTCTAAATGAGCAACACTCACAGGGAGAGAATGATGGGTCCACAAAAAAAGGTTGCAAAAAGAACATTAAAAATAGTCGATGGGGTAGTAGATAAAAATCTGGAAAGCACTGGTCACCCATGCTGGACGGTACTAGAGGAGGCCTCAATGGAACCATGAGAGTGGGAGCCTGAACTGAACTCAAGTAGGAAGGACAGAAGGGCTTTCCCAGACCTAAGCTAAGGAATCACTGACACACAAATGAATACAACATCTCAGCAAACCCTAGAACTTGAGGTAGAACACAGACAAGGATTGGCAACCTCAATGGCCAAAAGCCTGCCACTCCCAGCCTGCCTCTGTCATCATCTGGGGACAAGGCTTGGGAGTGACATAATTTTTAGAAAGGAAAGAAAAATATAGTGTGAGATAAATAAGAAAGGAGAACAAGATCCTTTGCCAGGGAGGGATGGGGGCAGGGCTGCTGCCTTAGCTTAAAACCCAGGACTGAAATCCCTAGTGGGGAGGCACCAGTCTGGACAAACAGGTGTCTTTTTCCCATTGGTCCACTCTGATGTGATCTTTCTCTCTCTCCCACACAGGAGCGCCATAAGCTACTGGTGACCTTGGAAGAGGATACAGATAAAATGTTTGAGATGTCCCAGGTATTATTTAGTCTCTAATCTTGGAAATGGCCAATTCTCATTTTCCAAGAAAAAAAGGAGGAATAAGGACAAGGGTCTCCGTACCTTCCTGAACAACAGGCTTTTGTTTATTGTTATGATTACAGCCTTTAACTTGCATGGAATCATTTAAAAGCTCCGACATTCATAAGAGTTAAATGAAGGACCTTCAAAATCATCCCTTGTTTTATAAGGTCATAGAGTAAAGAGCCCAGAAGAGCTCCAAGCTGTCCAAAGTGACAGAGGCACTTACCCAGGGACTGGGCAGCTGGCTGGGCTGCCTCATTCTTCCATTACCCCAAATTGATCTCCAACCTGCACAAGCACAGTCTGACCTTGGCTTAACTCAACCACAGGTGCCTAAAAATTGTGCATTTCACCAGAAACTGTGTACATATGATTTAAAACTCAAAGACTTTCCTTTTTTTAAACATAGAAATAGAAAAAAGAGCAAGAAAACAAGAAAAGGGGAGAGATGAAGGGAGAGCACTGAGCTGAAAATGGAGAAGAAAAATGGAATTGGTACACCACAGGTGACTTAAACCTGATCTTTGTCCCTACATATACATGAATGTGCTTTCCTTGTAAAAAAAGGAATACATTACAAAGCTAGTCTCCTTTCTACCCTCCACCCAAGAAAGAACTACTGCTCTAGACTCTCAGTCTCCAAATCATTTTCTCTCCATTTACATGAATATGACATATATGAGGGATAATTAATAGAAAACATGCATTATGAAAAATTATGCATGGATTTCAAAGTTTTTGTACCAAAATACATTTTTTTAAAGATTTACTTATTTATTTGAAAGGCACAGTTACGGGTGGGGGGGTGCGTGGATAGAGACAGAGAGAGGTCTTTCATCCGTTGGCTCACTCTGCAAATGGCTGCAATGGCCAGAGCTGGGGCAATCCGAAGCCAGGAGCCAGGAGCTTCTTCTGGGTCTCCCACTTGGTGCAGGGGGCCAAGGATTTGGACCATCTTTCCCTGCTTTCCCAGATGCATTAGCAGAGAGCTGGATGGGAAGTGGGGCAGCCAGGACTCCAACTAATGCCCTTATAAGATATCAGTGTCATAGGCAGTGGCTTTACCTGCTACACCACAAGCAAGCCCCAAATTTCCCTTAATTCCACTTTTGAAAGTCACCTTTAATAAAATAAATCTTAAAAAAAAAAAGTGGGGGAGGGGGCCAACACTGTGGCGAGGTAGGTTAAAGCCCCAGCCTGGAGCACCAGCATCCCATATGGGTGCCAGTTCAAGTCCCAGCTGCTCCACTTTCGATCCAGCTCCCTGCTGATGCACCTGGAAAGGCAGTGGAGGATGACCCAAGTCCCTGGGCACAAGGCACAGTCGCAGATGCAAAAGCAGAGGTTTATTTGTTACCAGCCAGCTGGGACCCCCTACCGACACACAGCCCTTTAGCAGTGCACAGGCAAAAGGCCCCCTCGTTTGCATAAGAGAGGTTTTTATAGCCTCACACTTACAAGGGTGCAGGTCATCTCCTACGTAGGTTACCTTCTTACTCTCTATATGGCAAGGTATTGGGACCTAACATGTTCATTGTTTCATTTAAACATAAAGACTATATAGGTTATGTGGCGGGAAGGCCACACAAAGGAAATGGCATGGGGAGGCACTGGCGGGAAGCATCGGGCCATAAATTCCAGGGGAGCTGGTGGGTACAGAAGGTCATACATTCCAGGCGAGCTTACTTTCTTTATTCTCAAGGACCTGGCCTGCCTCCTTAATGGCCCAAGATGAGGCCTATACAGCAGGCAGGCAAGCAAGCAAAACTGGCATTTAGCAAGCTAGGGACTAATCCCTACACACCAGTTCAGGGCTGGCGCCCTGGTTCACTTGGTTAATCCTCCGCTTGTGGCGCCAGCATCCCATATGGGTGCTGGGTTCTAGTCCCGGTTGCTCCTCTTCCAGTCCATCTCTCTGCTGTGGCCCAGGGGGGCAGTGGAGGATGGCCCAAGTGCTTGGGCCTTGCACCCGCATGGGAGACCAGGAGAAGCACCTGGCTCCTGGCTTCGGATTGGCGTAGTGCTGGCCATAGTGGCCATTTGGGGGGTGAACCAACGGAAGGAAGACCTTTCTCTCTGTCTCTCTCTCTCACTGTCTAACTCTATCTGTCCAAAAAAAAAAAAAAAAAGCAGCCCCAGTTCAGAGCACTATTTTGACATATGCTCCCCAAAATCCCTGAGAGCAAGCTATTGCTTCTGCATAGCCCATCAACCAAGGCCTGCTGGTCTCCACCATGTTTTTTAAAAACATCAACATAGAGAAATGAAAGATCAAATTAAAGGGAGACTCTCCTAAGGCAAAAAGAGGAAGGAACAAAAAGCAAATGAATGAGGGCTATCGCTGAGGCACAGCGGATTAAAGCCCTGGCCTGCAGCACCTGCATCCCATATGAGTGCCAGTTCTGGTCCCAGCTGCTCCACTTCCAATCCAGCTCTCTGCTATGGCCTGGGAAAGCAGTAGAACATGGCCCATGGGCCCCTGCACCCATGTGGGAGACCCAGAGGAAGCTCCTGGCTCCTGACTTCAGATCGGTGCAGCTCCAGCCATTGTGGCCATCTGGGGAGTGAACCAGCAGATGGAAGACTTCTCTCTCTATCTCTACCTCTTTCTGTAACTCTATCTTTCAAATAAATAAAATAAATCTTAAAAAAAAAAAAGACTCAAAAGCTACATCTCTGACAAATCCAACTGGGGAGGTGGTCACTGAAGTTGCACAATCATTCAGCAGAGGGGTGTTTTTTAAGGCCTTCTGTTGAATTATCCTTGGAAGAATCAGTTTGCTAAATGCCTATAGGGTTGTTGTTGTTGTTGTTCAATTAAAAGGAAACCACAATTTCAAAATGTATTAATTATTTCCTTTGGAAATTCCTCATTCTACGAATTCCTGTGTAATATTTGCTCCAAAATAATCTCACAGACACTACAATCTCATCCTGATGCATCTGACATGCACTCTCCCAGCAAGATGCTGAAAACTGACAGAACAGACTGCGAACTTTCTCAACAGTAGGCTCAGAACCAGACGAGACCTTGTGGTAGACTGGGTATGTATTAAAGGGACGCTGACCCCTAACTCTTCATTCCAGTGGTACATTCTCACTTCTGAGGTGACCAACTGTCCTGCTTCACCTGGGACTGAACGGGCTCTCCAAGTGTGGAACTTTGTTTTAAAATCAGAAAAGTCTCAGGTAAAAGCCCAGAAAAAGACTGGTCACTCAGAAGCCTGGCAAACGCCCCCACCCCTTGCCCATAGTGCACTGACCCCATGCAGAGTTCCTATACATACTGCTATTTGGCCCTGAACACCCCAATGACTCACACAGACCTAGCCTCTGTGACAAGCACATAGTAATTGCCCAGTAAATACTCACACAGATTCAACCCTACAAATAGTGGGACATGGACTTTGTCATATAAAGAGAGCTCTACTTTCCTCAATCTTTTTTTTAAGTCTTTATTATATTTGAAAAGCAGAGACAGAGCCAAATCTTCCACTCACTGATTTACTCCCCAAAATGCCTGCAATAGGTGTGGCTGGTCTGGATCAAAGCCAGGAGGCCAGAACTCCATCTAGGTCTAGACCCTACATGGTGGCTCCTATTTGAACCATCCTGCTACTTCCTAGGGGTGTGTGTTAGCAGGAAGCTGGAATTAAAAGCACGGTCAGGATTGAAACCAGGCACTCCAAGCAGCCTCTTAACGGATACACCAAACGTCCTGCCATCATTTTCCTTGTCTTGACTGGAGGCAGAGGTAACAGATCATGAACTGATTTTACATGTATGTTTTACTTCAAGACTCTTTTCACCACCAGTTTATTTCTTTCTGCTCCCGTGAGCCAATCATCACACAGAGTCTCCAAAGGGCAAGCCTGGTGGTTAAAAGGCAGACCCTCGCTCCAGAGCTGTTAGGTCTATGTGGCTCGGGCCTCAAAATGTGAAACATAAAAAGGAACACAATTCAGTAAAACTTGTATGTAAAAAGAAACAGTACAAAATGTGCAGAAGTAAAAGGCTGTGAAAGGAAATGACATGTTCTTGGAAGAGATATTTGGACTTGGCTGAAGCAAAGAATGATGACAAGATTTGCAGCAACAGAGATTTGCAAAGCTCAAAAGCAAAATGCTCTGTACACCCAAACATTGTCTGTGGTAGTTAAATCAGTGTACTCTGCTTGGTGGGCCATTTAGCAATACTTACCAGCATTTGAACTGAACACTGTCCTGACGTAGCAATCCCCCTTCTCCAGTTAGCACGTGCAAAAGCACACCCAGATGCATGGATGAGGACATCAATTGCATCTCCATTAAGAAACCAAAACGTAAACCACAACAGAGGTACTGCTGCAAACATCCATCAATAAGGGATTGACTGGGAAGATAAGGTATGGCCAATCCACTACACGGAGTACTGTATAGGCATTGTGAAAAGGAAGGCAAATCTGTACAAGCCAATATAGGACTACCTCCAAAACATTACATGAAAAGATTAAACTGCAGAAGGACTTGTATAGTAGTATCTCAGCTGGGTTGAAAAAAATCTTCAAGTGTGTTGTGTATGCACTGTACACAATTATTACATATGCACACACAAATACATATGCTCTTTATATGCCTAGAAAATGTCTGGAAAGATACAGAAAAAAGGATATTTTTCACTTTATAACTACATATTCTGAATTTTTTTAAGCAGGATTGTGCTATTACCTGAAACAAACAACAATAACAAAAAGCTAAACAAATTTTTTTTCATAGCAAACATCACGAGTTTTATCCTATAGACAAAATTACTCCAGTAAAGTAGTTGTAAGCTAAAGAATGACTGAATAAGAAATACCTATACTATGCCAAACAAATAAACCAAAGGTAGTTAGTAGCATTTGTGTTTCAAAAGAACTATCTTGGTAGAGTCCAATGGACCAAGTTCTAATTCACGTTCTGCCATTTTCTTGACCTCAGCGAGATATAAAAACCATCTAAGTCCCAATTTCCTCCTTTAACAAATGGCTGTAATAAACAACAGCCACTGCCTGAATGAATACAAAGTACCCAGCACATCTTCAACTCTCAACAAGGAAGGGCAGCCAGAAGTAACTGAAGTTGCAGTAGTGATGTGCTACCCTGAGATCCAGTAAGAAGGTTCTAGATCACTTTCCCTGTCACCTCTTGATCTAACATAGTCAATTCCTTTTACTTTCTCTTAAAATTGATATTATCAGTTTCTTATATCATGGATAATTTGCCCTGATGCCTTGTGTTAAGATTGAAGGAGATTTTATCACCCGCTTCCTTAATAGAGGAGCAACAGAAACACTGGCACGTCCTGTGATAAGCTTCAGAAGATAAGCAAGGCCATGGGAACAGAGAGGAGGAAATTTGCCAAATTCTTTGGATCCACATTCAACAAAGTGAGGCCACCAACTGCTTCCCTGAGACCTCCAGCTCTCAGTGTGGTCAGAGCAAATTCTGTGGTTTACCAGTATTCCCAGGAGCAAGGCTGTCCCGGCCAGCCAGGCTCTGAGCACACACTGCAGCTGAAGACCAGCCGTTCATTTCTGAAAGAGACTTGGCACTTACTATATAATAGCTCCGATGGGAGTAGATTAAAACTAAAGACAAGACAAATTCTTCCCCTCCGACAGCTCCCGGGCTTTTAACGGCAGGCTGACAGCAGCTACAGGCTAGCTCTTTTTGGCCCAAATAACAAGGCTGATCCTCCCGGAGGGTCTCAGACTCCACAGAGAAGCACCTTGCTGCGTGGGTAAGAACCTGTCACCAAACTGTCATTTCTTCTTTAACTCTGGTGAAATCCTTAGTATCTCATGGCCTCTACCATATACAAATGGAGAAACTGAGGCACCGCTGGTGCTTCTCCTTGCTGCAAGTACCCAGCCCTGCTCCAGCCCTCTGTGTGCACCTGTCTGTACCTAATAGCACGCTCTCTGAGGCTGCACACTGGGTCAAACGTACCCGGTTCCACTAACTGCATCTTTCACGGCCTCCACAGACTGCAGAGGGCCAGCTTTTCTTGAGGAGCTAACCTGATCATAAAACAGAAGCGGGAGGGCCTCCGTGGATTTCTGAGGGAAAGGAGGGTCAAGACCATTGAGTGGTGATCCCAGCCTTGCCAGGAACGTGGGCCTGACAGACTCCTCCTCTGGGGCCCCGTTTTCTCATTGAATGAACAAAAGAAGGGGAAGTAGATGATCTGAGATCCTTCTAGACAACAAGTACCTGACTCCTTCCAAAGACCTTCTCCTCCGCAAATCCAAGGGGGAAAATCCTAAGTAACAACCTCAAATTCACAATGACGCAAACCAGAAGTTCCTGTTTTCCGTGTTTGGGCAGTGAAAAGATAAGCCACAGAAATGACCCAGCAAAGTCTACACAGGGTTCCAGAACTGTGAGTTACCCGCACAGGGAGGAGAGGCATTTCCTCTTCCCAAAGCAACTTTACCCTCCCATAAAGACTGAAAGCACGCAGGATTCCGCAGCAGGGAAGTTCCTGCTTGCCAGTTTCTAAGGACCTGGCAAGTCCAGAAAACCCGCGCGTTATCACTCCCAGGCTTTCCTCCCGTTCAGTGCCGCAGATTTAAGACAGAGAAAACACAGCCTTGGGGAGATAGACGTTGGGGCTGATGGGAGATGAGAAAACAAAGGTAAGAAAAAAAGGACTAGCAGTAATGAACTTGATTCTGGACAAACAGAACTCCATGACTACCTCGGTATCCTTGGGGTGGGCAAATCAGCCTAGTGTGAGCGAGCCCCGCCCCTGCGACCTGCCAGGGACTTCCCAGTTCCCCATACTCCCAGAGCAGGTATTCAGGGCAAAAACGCACAATGCGCCCCAAGTGCGTCACGCCAAAGACATCCCAGAGGGGAAGGGAGTTGTCCCGGCTGGTCTACCACCCCCAACGGACCCTTACTGGGAAGGTAACGCTGACAAGGACCCCGGGCTTCCGAACGGGTGGGGACCAAACAAGACAATAGGGCCATCAAGAAGGAACTGACAGGCGGACGAGGATGAGCGCCAAGGTACGAAATAGAGACAGCAGAGGGCCGATGGAAAAAGAGGCAGCGAGCAAAGGAGGGGCGTGGATCGACTCTAGTCCTGGAGAGAGAATGACCCACGTACACGCAAAGACCCACGTCCCGCTTCCAAGCGCCGCGACGCACGGGGACAGCCCCTCCCGGCGGCCCGCCTGCCATCCCCGCTCCCGCGACCCGCACCGTGTTGTAGAACTCGGCGATGGCAGGCACGATGGTGTAGTTGTCCTCGCACCAGTCCACCTCCGAGCTGCCAGCCCGCAGCTGGTCCCACCAGTGCGGGGCGCCCATGGCCGCTCTGGGGCATTGGAGCAGCTGCTCCTGCAAGTGAGAAGAGCCCAGAGCTGCAGCCAGCGGCAACCCGCGGCTGCGGCGGCTTTATGCAGTACGCGCCGGCCTCCGGATGTGGCGCCTCCCCCGCCGGCCTGCTTGCCCGCGCTCCGCCCCGCCTGCTGGACGTGACCCGCCCGCGGACCCCTCCCCGGCCCCGCCCCCAAGGGAGCCACGCCCACCCTGGGGGCAGGATCCGCAGGGGAGGAGAGGCCGGGGAGTTCGAGAAGGCGGGAACCGGGTTCTCCCAGACTCACCAGCAAAGGCCGTGGGACCTGGCCTCGCTTACCTCCTGGCGCCGACTCACAGGAGACCCCCAGATTGTGCAAAGAAAACCAGAGCCCTCTCTGGGAAAAATTTAAAGTAAGAAAAAACCCAGGAGGACCCAGACTCCTTTGGAGGTTGCAGCGATAGGGCTTTGCCACACGTGGGACGCCAGTGTTCAAGCCATAGAAATATCTTGGGTTCATCCGAGGCGGAGAGGGGACTGCTTGACCCAACACGACTGTCCCCGCTGCAGTCGCTGGGGTTAGGAAGATCTGGGATGCGAGGGCAAGCTCAGCGACCTCCTTCTCCCCCTTATACCTCCACACAGTCTGGACCACCCACTCCCCACGGGTGTAATTTCGAGACCATTCCTACCCTCAGTGCCCCTAGACTCTGGCATCAGGCTTTCATCTAATCTTCGATGTAGGAGCTTAGTCATGGGGTCAAACTTCAGCTACCCTGCAGGGAATGGATGCAGGGTGGCAGTGAGACAGCTCCAGGATATCCAAAGTGCAAGAGATCGTGACACATGTAAAGCATCTCCTTGGCAGTGGCAGAAGAGGCCTCAGGCAGTCATCCGTGCTGACTGTCCTTAGGATATCCTTGCTCGGGCTCAAGTGGTATGCACCTTTCTGGGGGTCCACAAGGCCAAAACTCTTTTCCTGTTAACAATGTAAATTTATGTGCCAGTGTACATCAGGTTTCCAGAGGCTCTGTGACAGCAAATGTAACAGCTGATGGAATATGTGCTTGTGTATACTTCAGCATTTAAAAATCTCACTTTAAATTTCTTCTTTTTTAAAAGATTATTTATTTGAAAGGCAAAGTTACAGAGAGGCAGAGGTAGAGAGAGAGAGAGAGAGAGAGAGAGAGAGAGAAGTCTTCCATCCATCCATTGGTTCACTCCCTCAGATGGTCACAACAGCTGGAGCTGTGCCCATCTGAAGTCAGGAGCCAGGAGCTTCCTCCAGGTCTCCCACCTGGGTGCAGGGGCCCAAGCACTTGAGCCATCTTCTACTGCTTTCCCAGGCCATAGCAGAGAGCTGGATCGGAAATGAAGCAGCCAGGACTCGAACCGGCACCCACATGGGATGCCAGCATTGCAGGTGGAGGCTTTACCAGCTACACCACATCACCAGCCTCTAAATTTCTTCTTTTTAAGATTTATTTGAAAGGCAAAGTGACAGAGAGAGGGAGAGACATGGAGAGAATCTTCCTCTGCTGGTTCACTCCCTAAATGGTTACAACAGCTGAGGCTGGACCAGGCTGAAGCCAGCAACCTGGAACTCCATCCACATCTTCCACATGGGTGGCAGGAGTCCAAGTACTTGAGCCATCATCTGTTGCTTTCCCAGATGCGTTAGCAGGGAGCTGGATGGAATGCAGAGCAGCAGGGACTCTAACCAGGACTCTGATATAGGATGCTATCATTGCAGTATACCGCTTGATCCGCTGCTCCCCAATGCCAGCCCCTACTTCAAATTTTTATTGTGGTAAATATTGATAGCACCTCACAAACAAAAGTCATTTAGGATCCTCAATAATTTCCTGAAGTACAAAGGAAGTCTTCAGACCAAAAAGGTTGACAGTTGCAGTTTAAAAGATATTCTCAATTAAACTAGTTATGTTTTTTCATCAGTTAGAATTTTAAAATGCTTATTGAATGCATGTTTTTATTATTTTCTTTAATATTTATTTATTTGAAAAGCATAGTTATGGAGAAGGAGGGAGGGAGAGAGAGAGAGAGAGAGAGAGAGAGAGAGAGAGAGATCGTTCTTCCATCCGCTGGTTCACTCACCAAATAGCCTCAGTGGTTGTGAAGCCAGGAGCTTGGAATTCTGAGTCTCCCACATGAGTGACTGGGGTCAAAATATTGAACCATATTCTACTGCCTTCCCAGATGTATCATTAGGAAGCTGGATCAGAAGTGGAGCAGGGGCTGGCACTGTGGTGTAGTGGGTAAAGCTGCCACCTGCAATGCTGGCATCCCATATGGGTTCTTGTTCAAGACCCAGCTGCTCCTCTTCCAATCCAGCTCTCTGCTATGGCCTGGGAAAGAAGTGGAAGATGGCCCAAGTGCTTGGGCCCCTGCATCTGCATGGGAGACCCAGAAGAAGCTCCTGGCTCCTGGCTCCTGGCTCCTGGCTCCTGGCTTCAGATCGGCACAGCTCCAGCTGTTGTGGCCATCTGGGGAGTGAACCAGTGGATGGAAGAATACACACACTCTCTCTCTCTCTCTCTCTCTCTCTGCCTCTCTGTAACTCTGCCTTGCAATTAAATAATAAATCCACATGCTGGCCCTGAATGAGTGCTTTTAGACATATACTATCATACATGCCTCTTATGTACATAGAAAAAGGAAAGCATCAGCAAACATCAGTTAGGGCATTCCTATCATTCCTTCACATTCAGAATCTCTATTCTTCTGAATCATTTTCAACTCATAGTTACTGATGCCTGCCTGTGTGTTTCACACAGAAGTATCCTGGGTCTTTAATCACCACATCTGGTAATGCACATTTTCTTACGAGTTACTGACACCTACAAGTTTCGATGCTGAGACTTCCTTGGTCTTAGTTTAAGGTATAGTGGAAGGTATCAGACAGCAGGCAGCATGTTTCTTTTCCAGGTGGTCCACCAAGAATAACCACCAAGTTGGTGCATGTACAGGTAGTCACACCATACCACAACCAGGGCCAAGCCAGCTGTGATCATAAAATTCTGATGCGTCAGGATTTTGGAGCTGTTACAATGCAAAACAATGTGTTCAGATCAGTGGAAATATGAAATTGGCTGGTTGTAATTCATCCTTCTCTCCAAGACTCACTGAGGGAGTGATGGGTTTGTTTTGTTTGTTTTTTCATCTTCCACGGGAACTCCTATAGGTAGTGGCAATTCTGGTTCAAAATCAAGGTCCACTACCCTGGTTCTTTCTAATTACAACTGCACAGAGACAGTGCTGAAGCCATGGAGAAGCAAATTCGATTCCTCCAAAGACACTAGCTTGGCTCTTCTGACTATAGACATCTGTCTGATGTTTTCTCCAACTCCCCATTGTCAACACTTTAGGTTAAATAGAACCTTTGTAATTTAACATTGTTAAATTGTTAGGTATTAATTTTGAAATTGATTTATATGGATGGTATGATGCCTGAGTAACCACTCAAAGTGTTTAATAAGAAATTCCAATATCTATTGTAAACAGAGTTTGTTAGTGGAGGGGTGGGGTGTGGAGATAGAAGACAGAGCACAGCTGAACTCTAATGAGGAGTTTGCTTCTGGCACTTTTGGTCTTGATATGAGTCAGTGATACAGACCCATGAGAAAGCAGGTTTGGGGGAGCAGCCCTTGCAAGGAAGAATGCCAACCTCTTCCATTTTTACAAGATGTTTAGCAATGTTTACTTGGCCTAAGTAAATATCTGATAATAAATATCCAGCTCAACTGGTTCCCTAGGTGGAAATGATCAAGTCTCAATGTCTTCATTGGGAAAAAGAAAGAAATGCAGGCACCTGAGTAAATGAAGCGAGAATTACCTGATCAAAGATGAACTTTTCTGTGTTCTGCTGTTCGGCCAGAGTTTTTCACTGTGGTCTTGTTTGAGGGTCATTGTCAAGGCCAGACCAGCTTCCACATCACATGGAAACTTCAGAAATGTAAATTGTGTGGTCCACCAGTCAGACCGGTGGTGGATTTAGAAACTTCTGGGTGGAGCAGAGCAAGCTCTGGTTGAACAAGCCCTCAGGCGATTCTGAACAATGCTCAAGTTTGAGAACCACGGTTTTAGTTAGTGTGTGGTGGGCAAAAATTCACTGTGAATTGTATACTCTGCTGCCCACAGAACCAACTCCATGTCCAGACTGGAAAGGATGAGAAGAGCCCAAAAGAAGGAATCCAGAGGCTCAGAGTCTGCCTCTACCCCCTCAGCTTCCAAGGAAATGGCAACACAGCAAGCATGTGTGTTTTTTTGGTTTTGCTTTTAATCCCAGGAATTCTCAGGCTCAGAATTGTAGGAGAGACCTGTGGGAAGCAGATCCCACCCCAGAAGGTGTCTGTGTTTGAATCAGGTCCTTTTTTTTTTTTTTTTTTTTTGACAGTGAGATAGAGACAGAGAGAAAGGTCTTCCTTTTGCCATTGGTTCACCCTCCAATGGCCGCTGCGGCTGGCGCATTGCACTGTTCCAAAGCCAGGAGCCAGGTGCTTCTCCTGGTCTCCCATGGGGTGCAGGGCCCAAGCACTTGGGCCATCCTCCACTGCACTCCCGGGCCATAGCAGAGAGCTGGCCTGGAAGAGGGGCAACCGGAACAGAATCCAGTGCCCCAACCGGGACTAGAACTGGGACTAGAACCTGGTGTGCCAGCGCCACAGGCAGAGGATTAGCCTATTGAGCCGCGGTGCTGGCCTGAATCAGGTCCCTTCTACTTGCTTCCCAACAGGCCCTCAACAGCCACTTCCTGCTGTTGTCAGTCGACCTCTAGGTAGAAGTGCCTCTTTTCCTTTCTCTAATCTGCACCGGAAAACCACAAACAAGGTTAAGACTAGGTGTACACTAAAATTAAGTGGATTCCGGTAGGAAATGGAAGCTCTGCCTAGGCCTGAAGGGCATGCAACTGGTTGAGTGTGTTTTGACTGGTGCTTTTGGAAAGTGAAAATGTCATTAGGTTAACAAACTGTAACTTGCAAAGAAGACATAACTAGCAAATTTAAACATCTACTTTGTACAAAGTCCCATATTAAGTGTTGAATAACATAGAAAGCAACAAAAGATTATTCTTGGTCTCATGGAGCTTAGTCTTATTAAGGCACACAAAGAAACCGCTGAAGAACAAAATGATGATTGCTAAAATAAAGG